ACTTAATATTATTTTTTATACTTCTAATTTAGATTTAATATATATAACCAATTAAATATATAAATAGTTTGGTCTAGTCTATTTGACCTAATCTTAATTCAGTTATTAATAAAAATTTGCTTTTATTACCACTGATAATTATTATCAATGTATAATATAAAATACAATTTTACTAACAAAAACTACTTTAGGAATCTAAAAAAAAAAAAATTTCCGTAAAATTCTAAATATAACCTTTTTTTTGTTCTAATTCAAGCTTTAAACCTTACTCTAAATATTAAAAGAGATTAATTTTTGCTTTGATGAAAATTTAAATCTAAATATCATAAATTACTAATGATGATCGCCAGTGGTGAAATGAAGTAATTTTCTTTTTAATAATATATAATAATCTTAAAATTTAATTAATCTAGACCAGTCTATACTGCTTCACTTTAAAATGAATTTTTTCAGTTCCAACTGATCTTAAAACCAAGCTTGCTAAAAATTGACAATTTATACAATTTGTTATAAATTATTTGATAATTATTGGTAATTTATCAACTTTGTTTTAAGACTAACCAAACTACATTCCTACTAATTCTATTTTTTATAAAAGTCACTTGTTATATAGTTTACTATCTATTTTCTAATCCTGAATAAGTGAATACTATAATTAACATCCGTTTATTTGGTCTTGTTACGCTTAACACATATCGAAAACTATATAATATAGCAAAAATGCCTAGATAAGCAATATAAATTAAAACAGTTATTAAAGCTTTATATTTATTTCACAAAAAAATTGAGTTTTTAAAAAATTACAACAGTGCTATAATCATGAATATTACAATAATCTGCATTTTAGTTGGCTAATAGAAGTGCGAGGACCTCATTATTGGGCCTACCCCTTAGATACATTAATACACTATTTATTGCCCTACAATGAAGATAAGTCTTAAATTCGAATCACCTAACATGAGGATCTAATATCGCACACTAAAAGAACTGTATAAACATATATATATAAACGAAATTGAATAACAATGAATAAAATTAAAAAAAATGAAATGATGGATTATTCACATAAGTCGTTCAACTTTATAAAATTACACAATTCTTTTTGCGTTTTGGTACCGGAGCGGGGCAAAGAACAGCACGAATCGCCTCATCGAATACATTTTTCAAACCCTTTTGGGTAAGAGCAGAACACTCAAGATATCTCACTGCAGATATATCTTTGGCCATTTGTAGCCCTTGAGGGTATGTGATAGGTTGTTGAGATTTTTGACGAAGCTTAAGGATAGTTTCCTTATCTTCACGAAGATCGAGTTTTGTACCAACAAGGATGATAGGAATATTTGGTGCATGATGAGTAATTTCTGGGTACCACTACGAATCAAAAAACACGGATGTATATTAGGATACAGAATTTTATACTAAATTCTAATAAGTTCTAATTAATTAATAAGTTATGAATAATATGACAGATATTTATTTTTACCTTGCCCCGAACGTTTTCAAAAGAGGAAGGACTAACCAAGGAAAAGCAAATCAAGAATACATCCGTTTGGGGATATGAAAGAGGCCGCAAGCGATCGTAATCTTCTTGACCAGCAGTATCCCAAAGGCCAAGATTAATAGGCTTACCGTCGACCATTACATTTGCGGAGTAATTATCAAATCTAAAGTAGATGTGTAAATAAACACATTCCAGTATGAAATATTCTACAGTCATACCTGAGTTATACCACCCTTTTTATCTCTGTATTTTTTGGGAGATATAGCTAAGGTTGGGATATAATTAAATATATAAAACATATGAAAAAAAGAAATTTATTCTGCTTAAATATGGGGATATTACTGAGGTGGTAAATAAAAGGGGGGAGATATAACCCAGGTGCGACTGTATAATTAAAGATAATAATAATTAATACTTACACAGTTGGAATATATTCACCGGGGAATGCATTAGTGGTATAACTGATTAGAAGACAGGTCTTGCCGACGGCACTATAATAAATTATTATTAATATTAGCAATATTTGCTTTCAAAATAATAAGCATAATAAATTCAAATTTTATAAATAGTAGAGTTAATTTTCATCAATTGATCTCTATGCTCTATGTCACTAAAGCATATACACCTATGTCATAAGTTATTGTAGATTCGTGCACTCATCTTTCTAACTTTTATCAACAGACGAGCAAAGCTCTTACAAATTCAAATTCATCAAATTGTCAACATTTCAGCCCAAGATGATGGCAAAAGCATAGCACATCTGTTCTAGATTTATAAAGTGCGGAACACTTACCCATCACCAACCACAACACATTTAATGGCTTGCATTTTTCTAGGAAGACTAATGAAGCAGATCTATAAGCTTTCAGCGAAAGAAAAATGAATCAGGTTATATATTATTTTTCTTTTTGCGTGAACAAATGAAGGAAAGGAATGAATTGGTTTCTTTCGACTGTGAAGGACGAAGCGTTTAAAACAAGAAATAGACAGTTTTAAATGGGTGCCTGTCGTGCTACGATTGTGATTAGTTTATGCAGTCGGATTATTGGGCATAGAAATGTATTAAATTTTGAAAGACATTAATTATTGATTAAATTTATCCGCGGCGCAGTACGAAGATTTAATAATTTATGTGTTAGAGAAAAGAAATAGTATTTATTTGGTTTGATACGGAATACTTGTAAAATGTTTTTTTTCATAACTAAATGGATTTGTATTTGGTTAGTGTTAATCTGTATATTGTATCATATATAATACGTTGTATCATTATCGTTACATATAACCAGACCGACTTTAATTTGTATGTTACCTATCTAAAAGCAATTAAAATATTATGTATCGGTGTTGGTATATTACCAATTAATTAACTTTACCATATGTCGATATCGATATACAGTCAACTCTTTCTATAACGAACTGACGGTTCTGAAAGAAAAAAAAAGGTCGCTATAGAAAATTACTATGATTTCTTAAGGACCATTGCACTTTCTATACCAAACTATTATAATTATAAAAATTTTTTCATTATATCCAGAGTTCGTTATATAGAGTTGGATCTCAAAAAACTTATTTGGGGTCTTTGCCTTGAAAATCAAGTTTGGATCATATGATTTACTATGTCCCATAAGGTCATTTTCAAGGCAAAGACCCCATTTGTCACCGACGGTGACACGATGATCAGGTTTGTTGTTTATATTGTTGATGTTAACAAAACATTAAGTAAAATCGCTCAAGGAAAACTTTTTATTAAACCACTAAAGATGGCTTTTTATACGAATTCTTATGATTTTTGACAAAATAACGTCTGTTTGGAATTTTCTTGATCATGTTACATTGTTTAAGGAATCTGCGTTACGAACCTGACACATTTCCGACGTGCAAAAGAATTTTGATGTTTATTTCAATGTTGTACTTATTACTAAATAAATAAATTGATATATATATTTTATATAAAACAAAATACGTATGAAAATTGTAATTGATTACCAGTCGCTATTTTTAACCAATTATGAAAATTAAATAAGAATTGTTTTTAAATATAGGCTGCTTTATTCTTTAAACTGTAGGCCAATTCCAGGCAATTTGTCTAGAAAATTATTAGAGATGTCAGATATGCTTATGACAGATGATTTACACTAATATATATATAGAAGCGACAATTTTTGATGAGAATGTTGTGTGATGATTAAAAATCAGTTTCATAAGCAATTGACAGCTATTTATACGTAATTATTATGCGGTTTCATAAACGGTTTCATAAGCGATTCATAAGTGGACTAATCAATCAAATACAATCTTATAATTTGAGATCAATTCTATTTACTGGAAATTATGCAATATCACATAAATGATTGGATTAAATTTTATGAAATGTTATCATTAATTAATCACCAAATCGAAAAATCCGCATATGTTAGGGGTCAAGTTGGTTTTTAGGTCAAGTTAAACTTGTCCCGGGTCAAAATAACCCCTAGCAGAATTTTAGGGTAGTGCGGGCCGGAATTATGTTGGTGCCGGCCGGGGTTTTTAGTTGATTAATTTGATTCGAGTCAAGCTTAACTTGACCTAAAAACCAACTTAACCCGTAACGTGTATATAGAACTTAAAATTTTACTAATAAAACTGCCTTTGGAGCTTTGGCAAAAAAATCTTTGTAAAATTTTAGTACAGACTATACCCTAACAAAATTAATTTTTTTGTTTCTTTAATTTACATATATACTATATATAGGTGCAGAAATTGATCAGTGATGGTAATGTAACTTTTTATTAGCATCCTGAGTCGTAGCTCAAAACTAGGGATGTTAAGTAGTTTAACCACCTGGTTAAAAACATGATTCAGTAGAACTAGCTGGTTTAACTAGCTAGTCAGTACATTAAAAATCGTGGTTTAATATAAATTCTAACTACTGGTCAGGCTACTTCTCAAAACATGACCAACATATCAAAAAGCTACAACTGACGTTTGTCATAATGTTAGGTATATACTATAACTTCAGATATGTCATAATCAGTGTTGCAGCAATAGATGAATAGAACAATATAAAAGAGTAATAGAATTAGAATAGAATAAAAATTTTGTCAATAGAACAAAAAATTGCCAAGATTATAACTAGATATTAATATAACAATAGAACAAAAAATTGACAACATTGGTTATAATATCTAATGATACGTACCAGTCATTGTTATAGTGCTACTAAACTCCATTTTCTTAATGATCTTATTAATTGGCAATTGACTACGTATCGGTATTGGAATTAACGGACATAATCCGTGACCGATAAATGAAGATAATCAATGTCAGAACAAAAACTTTTGAAATCATAAAAAATTTGCTATTCTTTTTTGTAATAACAGATAACATCAAAGATTTCGTACGTATAGATAACTGAATTTTTACGGCGATCCGAAGGTCGTGTCACGTGATAAGTTTAAATAAAAATCGACAACGATGTTCTTTTTAAATTTTTTAAATCAAAAAAATTTAAAAATTAAAAATGGTAATGAAATATGAATCGTTGCTTTTTCTAATTCATGTTACAATTAACGTTGCATGACGCTTCACCCAAATACTAGTCGACACCTATTATAATCGGCGCCGTAGTTACTGCTGTAGCCTTGGCTGGTAGGTTGGCACTCAAAGCTGCACAAAGTTCTAAACCGATAGGTTCAAAAACTGTATTTAGTAGTTCGTTGTCCAAGAAACGGCCAATAGGAGGGTTTGACCGTAAGATTACTAGGCAGGAAGCAATACAGATCTTAGGTTTACGGTATTGGTTTTTTTTTTTTTGAAAAAAAACAAATCTTTAAGAAAATGATTTCAAAAAAATAGTAAATATTAACTTTACACGATAACATTATTATTGATAGAGAATCTGGTATAAATAAAGCCAAAATTAAAGAAGCACATCGCCGAATTATGCTTCTTAACCATCCCGATCGTGGAGGATCACCTTACTTGGCAAGTAAAATTAACGAAGCTAAAGATTTCCTCGATAAATCTGTACGATCATAGATAGTGATATGGGCTCATCGGCTGGGCGGGCGGGTAGGCCAGTCTAAAGTTGTCGGCCGTAAGTAATAATTACGGGCATTACGAATTACAACCTGGTTTGCAACCCTAATACTCAAAGTTGTAAATATGTCGTAATGGTTATAATTGTCATAATGCCGTAATGGTTGTAATTGTCAAATGCCGTAATAGGTTGTAATTGTCGTAAAACATATGTAATTGTGTCTTGCACGTCCTTATAAACGTGTAAAGCTTAACAAATTAACGGCAACACGTAACATTACATGTAAACGAAAATTGACTCTAAAAATTTCAAAATATTTGCATTTAAGTGCCATCAGGAAAAGTCGATAATTTAATGACAGTCTCTAAAAAATCTGACCAATTGATACGTATTTAAATTTGTTATATTCTACCACTATTGCTATTATTTCCAGAGGTTCAATGAACTCGAAGAGTCAAAACCCGTGAGGCTTTTTTTTTGGAGGTATTCATTCTTGTATGCAAGCGTATTGTAGAGCTTTAATGTATAGTATCAGTATATATAGTTGAAATGTGCATGGTTATTTGACAATTCATATTCTTTAATTTCGTAATCATCAAATGTATTAAATATTGCGCCACTATGCAAATAATAATACGACCCGCGCTGTGAATAAAAAAACATGGATTTTACCCTAACGTGATTACGTAACGTACTAATTTACAGCGTGGGTTTCACCCCCCCATAATAAATTAATTTATGACACACGACACGATATTCAATATTAGGATGGGACTATATCAGGTTGGTGAAAAATGACTGAACAGTGATCTTTTTTACTATCTACTAATATGGTGCAGGACATCTAATCACATCATAGCGCTGAAATTTTTGAAATCTATATATAAATATAAATAGTAGTGCTGAATTTTAAAATTCACATAGTGCGTTGAATTTTGTAATTTATTATAATATATATATATAATAGTGTTGAATTTAATATATAAAAAATGTTGAATTTTTAATATTTATTAATAAAATGAAGTGCTGAATTTAATATATAAAAAAATGTTGAATTTTTTAATATTTATTAATAAAATAAAGTGTTGAATTTTTTAAAATTATTAATAAATTAAAGAATTTTTAAATTAAACTAACTTTTTAGCAAAAGAATTTTTTTGAAAAAACTTCTTTGCAGAAACTTCAAATTTTGCTAAATATATTTATGATATAATTATTATATTATTATTATATTATTATTATAT